GTTATTTTTTGGGAAAAGGACCTCAGCAATAATAGATCATCTCTGGAATGAGTCACAATCATTCTCTAAAATATCCAGTGATTTTAGATAGAGCAGAAATGTAGGCACATATCTGCTCAGAGTTGGCAAAGGCAAACCCTGCCAGTGATGCAAATAAACAGTCTGAGTGCAGCTCTGCCTTCTCAGCCATCTAATCTCAAGCACTTACATGATAAGTAACAAATAAAATAATAATATTTATAATAGTAATTATTATTTCTCCTTAATAACTTCCTTAACTTGACCAGTGGGTCAAAATAAGTTGCCCAAATAGCACCTGAGGGGCAAAATCATGTGGAAGGAGAGGAACTGGTAGGTTACCGTCATCTGTAACACCAAGAAATGTTATGTCTAAGGACATAATAACATTGACACACACCCTGAAATTAAGTACCCACTACCTAGGATGCCATCACTGCTTTTGGCTTTCTTTGCCCTTCTTTGTTATTTAGTGTCTATGTCTTTCTGGCTTTTAGGGTTACTGGCTTCAAAAAAATAGTGTATGAAGCCCCAGCAGACTCTAAATTTTTCTGTCAGTGGTGCAGGGTTTCACATTGTCTGGAGATGAACGTATATTTCACGTTGCTGATGATGACAAGCTCCTCTCTCTAGCCTAGGACTCACCTCCTCTGCCCCCTCCTTTGACCACTGCTGTTGAAATAACATCCCCAAAACACAAAATCCATTTGCAGAGCTAGTTTGATTCCTAAACTTAATACTCTGCTCCCAAGTGTTATACACAATATTTTAAAAACAAAACAAAACACAACCCCACAATATAAAATTGCAAGTGCTACAAAATGAGGAAAAATTTGTACAATTCACAAAATATTACAGCATATATCACACAACCTCAGATGGACAAAGGGTTCTTCCTTCAGGATCTTCCCAGACATTAGTCAGAGCAGTGAGGATCTGCACTAGTAAGAGCAGTGAGTCACAGCTGCTCTAGCGATTTTGCTACTTGCAGCCAACCTGGGACAGGGCAGATTGATAAGGGCATAAACTGAAACAAGAGAGACTGGATAGAAAGAGAAACTTTTTCATGTTGAGAACAGTTGGGCAGTGCAGTTTCCATTTTTGGAGATTTTTAGAGACCTGGAGGAAGTCCAGAGCAAATGGGTCTGACCCATCTGATTCTGCTTTGATTGGGGGGTTGGACTGGAGACATCCTGAGTTTTTTGCTTTGTGGCATTTTGATTCTCAGAACAGCGTATTACTTCTAGAGAACTCAGTGGACAATTTTGGAAATCTGAAGAGTTGAAAATTTGGATGGAGTTTACTTGGATAGTGTTCACTTGCATGCTACAAGAACCAGTTTCTATTCTATTCTACAACATGGTGTGAATGAGTTTCAAACAATTTCAATTGTTTGAAATTGTTTCAATGTTTCTGAAAAAACACATCACTTAGGCATGAATATGTTCTGAACTGATGGTTTATGTCTGACACAATGTCATCTGGACTGCCTGTCCTGTTCATAGATGAACTAATCATCTGAATTTACCTGTTGTGAGCCCACAGTATCTTCAGAGAGGTCAGAGTGCAATAAAACTTAGGTCCTCACATCAATTATATGCTACAGTAACAAATGTACTTATTGCCCCTGCTTGAATATATTTGATGGGGAAATATTTTTCCCTATTTCATGGGGAAATGGCTTGCCGTAGATAAAGAATATGAATGCTATTTCTTACTCTTTTAACGTATTTTCTTGGAGTTGAGCAAATGATTTTTGGTAGAACAATCTTCTGTAAAAATGCTTTGACAAAATTAGAATGTGTTATCAGATTGGAAAATTTCAAACATCATATAAGCAGAGAACTGTTAAATAATTTACTTCAAACTTTCCATCTTGTGACTTTTAAACTTGTATTTCTGGATATGCTATGTTTGTCTTTGAATTATTATTATGTTTTTTTTTTTTTTTTATATTAAATCACGCAACAGGAGTTAATCTCCCATGTGATATTTTTTATCTTACCTAAGTGGAATTTTTCAAAGGTTATCTTGATGTCTCCTAATCAAATGTTTTGAAAATGTACATCCACAAAAGCACACTGAGATTTAACTTTTCATCCTAATTCAGAGCAAAACATATATAAATACATTAGACTGTACCTTTTTCCTGACCAGCAATTTATTACTGTGGAACATTCAGAATCAGTCAATAACATCATTTTCTGCATTTTTTCTTTCTCCTGCATTGGAATTTGCCCTGGGTGCTAAAGCGTAAGTCAATTACTGTGCCCAGATGTAACTCTTTTTGATTTCTCTGAAAAACTGAAATGGCAGAAAAAATGTCAGAGTTCAGGGAAAGAAAACCAATATAGCACACTTCTGTTTTGTCTGCAGAGGTTTTGTATTATCTCAACAGCAGTTATCACAGAATCACATTGTGCTTTCTATCAGCTTTGTCTGAAAACTGTACAAGCAGAGATAATTCTGTTGCTAGTTGGGATGACATTAAATTGAAATGAAGGTAAAAACAAATTAATTTTTGTCTGTAATAGTTGTGTATGGTACCAAATGTGACAAGACATTACCAGATTTGTTTTTAATGGTGTCATTAGTATGCTGTTTGCATATATTATGTTTTGCCAAATTCTATGTTAACAACACAAGAACTCTGTCCTTATTCAAGCGTTTCATGTTGGAAGATCCTGTCTGTGCTGTCTTTGAGCAGTTTGTGTCAAGATCCTTGCTCCCTCTGGAAAGAAGGGTGGAGAACCGGCCACAAATCTGCAACTTTATTTTAGAAAATAAGGATATAAAATGGAAGTAATTTTTTTTTTGCTGTGGTTGGTAGATTTTCTCCTACTGGGAGGGACTCAAACCTTCCTAGAAAATGTACCAAGATAAGGCTGTTCCTAGCTTTGTATCTTCTCTGAAACACATAATATTATTTTCTCTTTAAGACTTCATAAAACTAGTAAGATATTGACAAATTGGATAGCTGACACATTGTGTGAAGTCAGAATCAAAACAGAAGCCTTGATTTATGTCATGATTTATGAACATACAGAAACTTAGACTTTGTCTTAATGCTGACTAAGAAGAAATATGAAATGCAAATAAACAACATCTTGCTAAAGGCATGTAGCTCTCATGAAGAAAAGCCAGAAGGAGGGCTCTTTTCCTAAAGATGAGGCACAGACATGCCAGCTGTCTAGTGAGCATAGCAGGGCTCTGGATGTGGTCCTCTTTCCACTATTGCCACACAGACTCAGCAACCACAATTTTGGAAGCTATGACCCCATCACAGAGTCTTCCCATATGGTGTGGGATTCAGAATGGTCCTCCATATCTCTGTATTGCTGATTTGCAATGCATTGCAATTGTATTGGCTTGGCTATGTTTTTTTTTAAGCACGACCAGACCTAGTCCTAAAAGATGAGAAATATCTTGGCAGAATTATAAATGAGTTAAAATTCGGATAGACAATGGAAGAAATCTGAAGGTAACTGAGTGGGTACAGTGTCTCCTCAAAACGTGGTTAAAGCAACAATTCTTGACCGCTGTAACTAGTCTTCCTCCTAAAGACATATCTAAATGTTTTCCTTGTTGTCCTCATGCTTGGAAACAGGTTTTTTTTTTTTTTTTTTTTTTTTTTTTTTTTTGTGTGTGTGTGTGAATTAATATACTGTTCTTAAATCTGTTGACCGCTACAGTCAATAAATCTGACAAGGCAACTGGCATTTCAAGTCCAGGGTGCATCTCGCACATCTTGCTGTTAATCGTATTGTTCCTCTTATTCATATATCTTTGTATTGAACACGCCTCTTGCGGTCTTTAGGACTCCTATTATGTTCTGTGTTTGTAGAACACTGTACTTGTGTAGCATGTGAAAAATGAAACTCTCATCAGTAATAAAAAATTACTAGCCAAAGTCAACTAACCAAAGTAATAACAAGTTTATCCAGGGAACAGTTACATTTCAAACAAAGATGGAAAACACTTTTTACAACTTCTCTACTTCTAATTCCTGGAGCTGATTGCTCATTGTTTTTTAGATCTTTGAAAAGGAGGAGGCTTTTCACGTAGTTTCCCTGTGTAGCATTCCTGCCTATATTTAGGTTCTGTGATTTGAAAAGACCTAGTAGATAATCCTGTCTCTATCCTTCTACCCCGCAATATTCACAAATGTCCCTATTGAATCCAGCTAATGTAATTGTTGAAAGGAATCAGTAAGACAATCCTGGATGAATTATACATGTCTTTCCCCTCTAAGATTATCCCTTCATTTCCAAGTTCAATCCTCTGCTCCACACATCTGGGTGAGAAAGAAGTTTATGGCAGCATCTCTGCTGCTGACATTCTCACAAATACTGTGAGGTGCCTGAACTCAGGTATGCAGACAAAATAAAAAGGGCCATTTATGCAACATTTGAATGAACAAGCTAAGAGTTCTGCACGGTGTGCATCCTTTATTTAAGTTTTAACATGACAGAATATAAAATTTTGTCCCTGCTGATAAGTATTTCCCCATGGTTAGATCATAGCAGAATGAAAACTATGCATTCTCTAGGTTTCTTTTGACTGGCAAGAAATGAAATGAGATTTGTTTTTTACTGTTAGACTAAAACAAGATTTCTTGTGGCTTTGTGAAGCCATAATGCTGTGTTTTCAGATCTAAAAATAAAAATTAATAAATAAAACAACATTTTATTGATAACTATTCCTTCCTTCTGTTAGGAAATACAAAACAGACAAGTTTGCCTTTTGCCCTGTAAAGAAAGGAAGCTAGGGAATACATGTTTATGAATATATATATTTTTTTACTTCAGATGCCAATTTTTTTGTGTGTGAACTTACTTGATGTGTAAATATTTAATGATTCCTTTCTCTGCATTTTTTTTCTGTGTAGGAGTAAAAGGATCCTTCAATACTGTGGACCAGATAAATAATGTATTACTTTGTCATGAAAAATGCCAGAGGAAAATAAATAGAAGATATCTTACCTTTGGTCATGACAATTCCTGCAAGAGTTTTGTGGCGTGCATGTGTGGAAGTAAAATTGTCTGTCAACTCCTGGAACTTCTGTGCAACCATTTGGTATATGGAGTCGGCAAAATCCTGAAAGAAACAGTTAGAAAGAATTCTTTCACTGTCTTTGATTGAGGTACTTGGGCGTTTCTGCAGATTAGTCACCTGCTGTCAGCTTCTAAGCGGCCCCTTTTAGAATTAGACACCACCTACCTGAGCGAAAATGAAAGGAAAATTTCTTTGTCAGCTAATGGCATCCAGTGTGGAGATGCTCTGCCTTAGGTTTTAAAACTACTGCGTTAGAGTCAAGTTTCATATTGAGTAGGGTTAGCAGGAAGGGAAGAGATTTCACTGTTGACTTTTCTTCAGCCTTGCAGTTAAAGAAAATTTGCTGTTTCTCAAAGCACTTTGCTATAGCCGGCTGTAGATACATACTTGTGCCCCACCAAACCACTTAATGATCAGAGACAAAGGCTAAGAATCACCAGTTTCGGATGTTACTCTTTTTCAAGATTTTTGGTTTTAATGAATATCAAGGCATTAAAAATTCCACTAATCTATTGACAACTGAGAGCTTAGCTGAGCTCTGGGTTACAGGGCAGGTGTCAAAGAAACCCCTATTTCTGCATTCATGGTGATTTTTAATGACTCTGCTACTGCAAGGAAAACTTCCCACTAGGGAACAGTGGCTATTGTCAGAAGCCTCCATGACCTGTTTAATTTCCACCTTGGCAACCACAGGAATGAGGGAATCTCTGCTTGCACAAGGGATGGTGCTTGCAGAAATACTCTGGTGTTCAGTAGCACTGCATGAAACCATATATCAAGTCTCCTCCTGAGCTTAGGTGAGTGCAACAACTATCTCAAAAGCTCCATTTTTCCTGACAATTGGGCTCTAAGGACAGAATTTTTGAGTCTGAGAGAGCCTAGAGAGTTTAGCTGGCAGTCACACTGTTAGGAGGCCAGGTACCAAAGGAAGCTAAATGGGCTGAAGGATAGATGCTGCAGCCTGCTCATGGATGAGTACGAACCTCTGTTGGTTCCTCAAAACACTGCTACTTGGACGGATTCCCTGAAAGAACATTTAGTATCTTTTCATTTACTTAAGCTCCGCACTTTGGTTTGCACAGAACCATTCAAGCATACGTTAGAGATAAGTCTGGGGAATGCTACTTGTGAGCATGAATTTTTCTTAATGTGTTTTGCAAATCTGAGCATATATAATTAAGATCCAAATGATTTTGTTTGTTTATGCTATCCAATTATTTATGTGAAAACAAACTGTACCTACAAATCCTTCTGGAAGCAGTTCCTGAGGGTTAGGGCTTACTTCCTGACTCTGGTTTGGAACCTCTTCGGCATCCTGTAATCTGATTAGCCCCAAGTGAATACGCCCTCATTGGGAAGAGCGGCTTGACTAGACAATTCTCTCCCTTTCCTCTTCTAGCGTTGGCTAAATGCACCTCTGGGGAAATCCCTGTACCAGAGCCCCTCTTGGTTCACACAGTTTCTCTGACTGGGTTCACCATACACACAGGGGTGAGGAGCTGGATTTGAAATTCATATTGTCTCACCTAGGAAGAGCCACAGATATATGAAAGTCAGGAAATATATTTAAAATGATCAAATCCTTCCCCCTGAACTGTCAATGTGGATGCAAACTATATCAGTGGAAACAGTATTTTAAATTGGGAAAACACACAGATGTTTTTCAGATGAAAGCAGATTCTATCTCACAAATATTACCAGTAATACTACTGTCATAGAGAGCCTCTGCAGGCTGCATACCATATGTTTCTACAGTTTGCTACAGGAACTACAGGAAATCTGTTTAATTTTCAAGCATTATTATATGAAATATAAAATGCTAATTAAATAAAACATATCAATAATTAGGCAACCCCTTTTCATAAATCCTTGAAATATTTTTCCATGGATATCAACGTAAGTGACAGTAATTTGCTCAAGTATATATAGGATAGGGCTTCCTTGACATTATCTTCTGTTGCTCTGAGAACCACCCATTTGCCCAAAAGATGGAAGATGGTTTAAAATAACATAGAATAAAACTTGCTAGTTTGCTGCAAAGGAAGGAAAGAGTCAATTAAACTCATTCTATGATGTGCATGTGAAGTTCTGCACCAGAATTAGATGAGAAGTGAGAAAAATTATCAAGAACGGTTTGACAGTTTCTAAATGGAATTTTATGTTGACTGCCTTTATACCTCCTCTAATCTAATTGTCCACAACAACCATATGAGCAAGGTATTGTTCATACAGTGCTTCTGAAGACTACGTTTGGGTCAATTCTGATTTGTCAAGCATCAAGGTACCCTTGTGATATAAATGCAATTATAGGCATTTTACAGATGAATGAGTGAAGGCAGTAAAATGACGAGGGACTGGTTCAAGGGAGCAGCACAGAGCAAGGCACAGCCAGGTGTTCTGATTTCTGACTAAGTGTTAAATGGTGGAACGCTGCCTTTTACAACACAAAAGTTTGGTTCTATACTTGTTATCCTTACTAAAGAATGACTTCATCCATAAAGGTGGAATAAAGTATATTTGCAGACTTGTATAACTAGGTTCCATATGGCAAACTGAAAATCTGATCAGCTTTATTTAGACTAGAAAGAAGGAAAGAAAAAAGAAAGAAAGAGGAGTACTTCAATAAAACTATCTGTACCATCTTTTTTTTTTGTTTAAAAAAAATCAAATCATAAATTTCATCTCCCACAGTATTACAGTCCAATCCATGTCTGCCTTTCTAAAATACCCTCCAAATCTGCATCCCAGGGCATTTTGTGCTCATTAAGAGTTAATTAGCTTAGAGGCACATACAATTCCTAAAAGAATCATTTTAAAAATGCTAAATAGAACAAATAACTTTTAACTTTGGATTTAGAAATCCCCACAGTCAGAGCTTTCTTTACTTCATTTGGCAGTAGGTTCCAAAGCCAGAGAGCAAATAGACTCACTAAAGGCAAAATAACGACATGACTTCAGATAACATTTAGGGATGATAAGGAATTCAGCATTCACTGATCTCAAGGAGTGACCTGGGACATTAAAGAACAGCAAATCCATTAAATGTGAAGCCTCTAAGCTAAAATAAGTCAGACAAATATTTTTGTCTGGAATTCACTGCCTAACAAGATGCCAGTGAAATTAATAGGAAAAAAAAAATGGAGTGAAATGCATAAATATGTAGGGAACAAGAAAAAACAACTGAAAAATAGCGTCAGATCTGAGAGGACGTTTAAGGGCTACCTCATTACCTTTGGATATTCTAAAGAACCAAGTAAAGAAAGGAAAAGAATAATCTATTCTTGAAGTTGATGAAAACTAAGGAGTAAAGGGATGCAGGGCTCAGCCTATTAAGGAATTTAATAGTTTCAGGACTGATGCATGTAATGCAGCTTTACTGTAGAGTCCTGAATGATCAAGCCCTGGAAATTGTCCTGGAGGAAGAGCTGGGCATGGGGCTAGTTTCCAAGTTTATATTTGTATGGCATGAGAAGTTAGGCATGCTGCCTTTGCCTCTAACACACACTGGAACAGCTATTTGACTTGATCCAGTCACATGCACAGAAATCAGTGGCAGTATATGTACCTGACCAGAGATATTAGTATAATTTTGAACATTTTAACAAATTCAGAGTAGTTGCAAATATATTTAGTGCATTTGGGGCAGATACAATGGAGATTAACAGTTGGTCCACTCATCCTTGCTCAGATTATAACTAGAGATTTCATGCCACAGTTTTTCTTGCCTTATGATTATCCAGTAGTCCTAGACTACTAAGAGATAGATGTCTAGCTACTGTAGTTTATCATTCCTGATGGCTGATAAAAGCCAAATAACTATCAGCAATCATCACGAGACTGGTTGAAGCCTTGACAATGGTAGAAAGTAGAAAGATGCAGATGGTGAGAACTTCGACAATTTATAAAAAAGCCCACCAGAAGATACAAGTTTGCATACTCTCAGAACACTAGGACTATGGTGAGGCTTAGGAGTAAATCTCCTTAGAAGTTCAAGATCTGATCCAAACCTCCCCAGAATTCCATGAAAACATATCTGACTCAAAGGTGTTCCAGGTAAAGCACCATTAGCAAGGATGTATTAGATACCTGCACTCCTTTGAGGGCTGAGTGCCAATGAAAGTTTTTCTGGACCACAAGAAGGATTGTCACTAGAAACTGCATATAGTAAATGTGGAACAGTTTGAGACATCTTGTCTCTCCACAAAAAAAGAGACACAGAAAATTCTGGAAAAGACTCAGAAGCAAAGACAGCCATGGACAAAATGACGTGCAGGGGACAGCAAGTCCTTTACTGGGCAATGCCAAGGAGGGGTTGACCATGATGGTTTTGGGTTCAGGCACCTCACTTGTTGGGAGGAAAGAGTATGGCTCTCTGGTAGAGCTGAACTTTCCAATGCCGAGTTTCTTTCCAGTCCCTCACTTTGCTTTACTTGCTGTTAAAATCTTAGCTTTCACAGGTCCTCATTTTTCTTCTGTACAAACAATATTCAGTCCAGAGACGATTTTTTCCAGATGAAAATTTTGTGCATTCTGATCAATATAGTAGGTGATATGAGTTAGTCAAGTGAGATTGCCAGACCCTGGACACTGAGGTCCACAGTCTGCTCCCAATTACTCTCAAGGCACTGAGGTCTACTTATTCAGAGGAACTGATGGAAACAGCAGGTACTTGCTCAGGCACTGCCAGAAATGAAAAAAAAAAAAAAAAAAGACCAATTAATAGTAAATCTCTCACTGAGAAAGAAGATCATGGGATCTCACCATACTTAATGAGCTGTATTTGGCTGTAGAAAAGAAGGATAGAAAAATGAAAAACAGATATCATTCCTATTAAGCTGGACTGTGTTGTCTGAACTATTGAACTATCCTTGATTACCATATCAAATTATCAGTGTTATTCACAGAGGAACATCAAGCTTCAGATCATACCATTACAGAACAAAAACTACTAGTCATTTCTCAGCACTAATATTTCAAATGGTATAAATAATTAAATGGGTTCAAGTTTGCAATGGCAGTCTTCAGGGTAAAACTGACATTCA